ACCAACAGAGCACCAGGGTTCCCTTTTCTCCACAGCCTCGCCAGCACTTGTTGTTTGTTGATTTATTGATGATAGCCATTCTGACCGGAGTGAGGTGGTATCTCATTGTGGTTTTTATTTGGATTTCTCTAGTGATTAGTAAGTTTGAGCATTTTTTCATATGTCTGTTAGCCATCTGTATGTCCTCTTTAGAGAAATATCTCTTCATATCCTCTGCCCTTTTTTTAATTGGGTTGTTTGTTTATTTGGTGTTGAGTTGCATGAGTGTTTTATAAACTTTGGATATTAACTCCTTATCAGATATATCATTGACAAATGAGAGTAAATCTTAAGTGTTCTCACCACAGACACACACGCACGCGCGCACACACACAAAGGTAACTATGTGAAGTGATATCTATGCTAATTAGCTTGATTGTGGTAATCATTTCACAACTGTATACATATATTAAATCATCATATTGTACACCTTAAAGATATACAATTTTATTTGTCAGTTTATTATACCTCAATTAAGCTGGAAAAAACATTCACTTTCATACCTAACTTTGTATTTATAATTTAAAGAAGGCCACCAAAATTATATAAGCTTTTGGTCCCACAGAACATATCTAATCCTGGCCTCATCAACAAGCTGTGGAAAATAGTCATACTATTAGTCATTAAAGAAAATAGAGTCATTCTTCATTCAAAAGAGCTTAGTAGTTATGAACACAAGTTTCGAGAATCACAGACCTGGATGCATATTCCAGTTCTGTCACTTTTGAATGTATGCCTCTAGGCAGTTTATTTAATCTCTAAATTTTTCCTACTCTGTAAAACAGGAACAATAATAGTACACGTCTCATAGGGTTGTTATGAAGATGTTATAGTGTAGTGCCTCTAAAGCAGCTGACACACAGTGAGCATAGTACACACTAAGCATACAATGAATATCAGCTATTACTATTTTGGTGTTTTTGGAGTGAAAATTATCTCAGGAAATGCAGGTGAAAAGCCATTTTCAGACAAATAAAAGTTGAAAGAATTTGCCATAAGACCTTTTCTAATGTGTACTTCACATAAGGAAAATTATCCCAAATAAAAAGTCTAAGATGCAAGAAAGAATGAAGAGCAGTGAAAGGATAAATATGTGCATTATTCTAAATGAGCATTTACTGTATAAAACAATAATAATGTCTTGCAGAGCTAACAAATATATAGAATTAAAATGCACATCAACAACAGCGAATAAATTGGGAGGGAAGTAAATATAATTAAACTATGCTAAACCTCTCAAAGAGGAGGGTCAAGGTATTGATTCTCTTTAAGTCTTAATAAGTTGAGTATATATGTTTTAATTTCCAGGATAACCACCAAAAGAATAAAAACAGGGTTTATAACTTCTGTATCAGTGGAGGGAAAGAAATGGAATGAAAAATAATTCTCAGTCAATCTGAAAGTCAGCATTAAAGGAGAAAAGAAAGAACAAATGAGAGAAAGGCAATCCACAAATGGGATGGTAGATTTAAACCAAAATATATTGGTAATTGCATTAAATGTAAATGGACTAAATGCTCCAGTTAAAAGACAAAAATTATCAGAATGACTTTTTAAAATCTTACTTTTTACTACTTATAAATTAATGAAAAGAATTTTGATGGCATTTAGTCTAGAGTAAAAGGGTCACTCATAATGAAAAATTTATAAATGATAAAAATTATGTTTATTTAATAACAGACTCAAAAGTGTGCACTAAAAATTGACAGAACTAAAAGGAGAAAAATACAAATCCATAATCTTAGTGGGATGTTTTAACATAGCTCTCTCGGTAACTTACAGAACCAGCCCACAAAAATCGGTGAATATGCAGAAGAGTTGAATAACATGACCTAATTAATATATATGGAATGCTATACCCAACACCTACAACATGTACATCCTTTACAAGCAACACATAGGCTATTTTCAAATATTGACTTTTATATGCCAATACTGGACACTTTTACATACATTATTTCCCCTAATCATAATACAATTGTGAAATAGACATCTGGGCTGGAAATCTTTTGTTTGCCCTTCAGACTTACCCTGTTCCCTTCTCTATGATGTTCTATTTCCTGTGAAGCTAACCTGTATGGGCTGCATTCACGGCTCCTTTTCTGTCTGGCTCTTGGTTGGGCTCAGCCAGTTGGAGGCAAGAGCAAAAATTGTTCAGTGAAAAAAAGGTGCAGTAAGTGCATTTATTCTTCCTGTCCCCTCCCTGTGGGGTACTGAGGGTGGCTGCATCCATCTTCTCCTACCTAAGTCTGCTCCTGCCAGGCAGCCCTCTCCAGACAGCTGCCCTCTCCAAATTCCAGTACCCAATTTTCCCCTGCTGCCTTTCAGATTGTAATGGCCCTTGCTATTAGTCCTGCGGTGCTGTGCCTTCCATTGTTGGTCTTCCTAAACCCTATCCACACTTCCAATAGTCCCTTTGCTAAACTCTCTTCAAATTACACAGTTAGAGCGTGCCATCTATTTCTTGCAAGGACCCTGGCTGTGTATTAGCATATCTGCCTGCATTTAAGAAACATAAGCTCAAGGAAGTCAATGACTTGCACAGGTCATGTGACTCCACCTATACCTCCTTTTATGGATATAGAAATAGGACAATTTCATCTCTTGCCCACATTATTAATAAATCATTAGCATAACAATAGAAGATCCTTCAACTGTAGACAATTGTATGCCTTGTCAGTATTTGAATAAATTTGAACTGTGAGTTGTAATATGGCCATTCTTACTTTCTTAAATAGCAGGAACACTGTGTCTTCCATTTAAAGTACTTTTATTCAGTTGTTTGTTAATTAATTTTTGGTACATAATATCTTTTAGAGAAAGTTGTTTAATATAGTGATTATGACCTTTGAATTTAATACCCCTATAATATTTTGCCTTCCTGCTTTGTTTTTCAGATCGCCATGAAGTTATTTCCAAAGAAATATTTGAGCTGGACCCATGGGAAAACCAGTGGAATGTTGTAGCCATCGATGTCCTCATGCATGACAGCTATGATGTCTGCCTGGTGGCCAGGATGAATCCCCGAGACCTCATCCCCCCACCTTTAGATTTGGTGAAAGAAGGCAAGGAGCACTGAGATCAGCATTGCTATAGGACCTCCCATTGTGTCTGTAAAGGAGGCATTAGGGATGGAGAGACCCCATGGGTATCTGTCAGTCACCCATACATGTGTTCTGCATGCATAGTGGCCCATGTGAAAAGCAGTGTGTGCTGGGTGCTGCAAGGGTAGTGTGCAGAGTCCACTCTCAGGGACCTCCACTCAGTTAGGGTGGACAAGACACAACAAGGCCAAATGTGGTGATGGCACAAGGGAGTACAAGGTGAGTGCCACAGGAGTGCAGGAGATAGAGGGACCTCACACTGCTGGGAACTCAAAAATAGTATTGCCAAGAAACAGGCCTTCTATCAGGCCTTCAAAGAATGAGGAGGAAGTTGTCCCATGGGTACAATTGATGGTGAGATCATGGAAACAGCTGAGTGAAGGCCAGAGGTGGGCCACATTGCCTGGGCCACTGGCTTTGCTATAGAGGCTAGAAAACTAGGTTGTAGCTAAATGACATACACTTGGAAAATAGGACTTTGGGCCTAGTCTGAGCAGGGGAATGATTTCAAAATAGTGGTGCAAAAGGAAGACTTATCTTTGTGCTTTGTTCTGGCTTCAGTGTTATAAAGACTGTTTGTTCTCATTCAGAATACTCATCTGCTGCAGCAACATTGCCCAAAACAGGGATAGCTGTGGACTACAAGTTTGTAACAGCCCGGGCACTCAGTCCAACCACAGTGAGCAAAGGAATTTCACCCCGGGCTGGGTCTGTGTCAGCGAAGGAGATGCGAGGTTCTGTAGCCATGGTCCACTCTGGGGCTTGTATAGAGTTTTCTGGACTAGACTTACCAAGATGCCCTTGACCAGCTCACACACACACATGGTCTTCTAAAGGCTGGCCCTGGCTGAATGCAGCTGGCTTATACCACCCAACCCGGGTAGAGACCAGGATCTGGAGTAAAGGAGAGAGAAAGCACACCCCTTTGGTGGCCAACTGCTCTCTTGGACCGAGCTTTTGCAATATCTTCCCCAAGGTTGGAGGGGAAGGATAGAGCCTCCTGCTTCAGCCCACAGTTGAGCATTACCAGAAAACAGCCACTCCCAAAATATATTTTAGGGATGACATTTAAACACCGAGGAAATCCATCTATTTTACTTAACATTTCTACTTCTGGAAGCAAGTATATTTAAAAAAATGCATTTTGATAGCTGTTATTCAACAACTTCTCAAGAGTTTTACCTTACACAAGGCTCTCTTTAAAGCAGGAGTGGTCAGTAAATTCCCTAGAACTTTACCAAAGAGAGACAATCCTAGATTGAGACAGCTTTTCTTTGCTGCAGACTTGTGTGACTGTGATGACTGCCAGCCCAGGTTCCAGTTACTAACCCAAGCACGAAAGACAGGTCCATAGAAATAAGCCAGTTGGAAACCTGCTTCTGCCACCCTGAAAGGGAGTCCAGTTAGACCCAAGGAATGTTGTCCCCTAGTAGGCTAACAGGGCAGGGACCACATCTATCTCATTGCAGTTGTACCCAAGTGCCCACTATGATACCTAGCACATGAATGGCTCTTCGGGTGGCCAGTACAGAGTAGCATTTCTCAGTCTGAGGGTTTGCTCTCCATGCATGTCCAGGGACCTGAATTAAAATGAGTTAATTCTTCTCCCTGGTTGAGGGTCCTAATCTCTGGATTCTTTTTCTTACTGCAAAGGCAGAGCAGTTCCTCTAAGCAATCTGTGCTGGTTGTGGTATCTGTGGTTGAGGAGAGCCACTACAGATCTCTGCTTCACTGATCTCCTCTTAACAGAACCCCTGCACCTGCTCCACCTACTTGAACATACTAGAAGATGCCACATTTCCCTGAATGAAGGAGGCCTTGTCGGCATGTCATGATACATTACTAGATGCATTGGGTTTCAGGTCGAGGCTCTAGTCCCAACTCCACTACTTAGCTAGCTGTGTGATCTTGGGCAAGATAACCTTTCTAAAGTCTTATTTTCCTCATATACAGAATGGGAAAAGAAAAAATATAAAGAGAGGTTACAGTCAAAATGGAAGAATAGGTAAATGCTATGTTAATTTCCTCCCATGACCACATCAAAATTACAACCAAATTATAGAACAATCAGCTTGGAGAACCATCTGAAGACTAGCTGAACAGAAGTCCTATAACTAAGGATATACAGAAGAAGCCACTTTGAGACTGGTAGGAGGGGCAGAGACACAAAACAGGCTGGCCCCACACTCACATGTGATGGTTGAGAATTAGGAGAGATATCATAGCTGCAGAGATCCCCCCTGAGGAGCAAAGGGTCCTCAGAGCACCAGTGTTGGGAAGAAGAGCCCCACAACAACTGACTATAAAAATCAACAAGGATTCCGTCTGTTTAGGTGATATGGAAGGCTAATAGAAACCCTGGTATTCTCTTAAAGGGCCCATATATGGAGTCACACACTTGCAGGCACTAACCCTGGGCTCCAGTGGAGGGACAGCAATTTGGGAGGAACCAGAGACATACAGGGAGAAACTGAGTTGTGTGGCTGCAGAGCGAGGGCTGGAGGGACAGCCACCATTATCCCTGTGTTGAGTGCTCCTCTTATGCAGCTGGCAGGCAGGTGCTATCTTTCCTGTGTTGAACCCTCCATCACATGGCCAAATCTGAATCTGCATTGGCCTGGTAAACTCTTCTCACTCCACCCTGGTGACTCCCTGGGACCCTACGCCACCCAACTCACACACCACTGGAGAATCTTTAGGCATCAGGCAGCCAACCTTGGCCCATGCTTCAGTCTTTCTTGGAGACCTTTCGGGGGTCTGTGTGCCTCAGGCAGACAGAGGTTGGCCTCAATGTGCTGTGTGCCTTTTGCTGAGTGGCCCCCGGCTCAGCACTGATGCCAAATCTGAATCTGCACTAACCTGGTGAACAGCACTCGCCCCACCCTGATGTCTCCCTGAGACCCTGCCTCACCCAACTTGCATACAGTTGAGACTCTTTCATTGGTTGAGCCTTATGGGAAGCCAGCAGGTAGTGGCAGGCATCAGGGTGCCCTAGGCCTTTCGCTAAGTTGCCCCAGTCCTGGTACTGGTTGCAGCCACCCTTGGTTTGCAGTGTGACCTCTCCCACAGACCTCCAGGTCCAGCACAAGCAATAACAAACTGCAGATTGCTTTGTAGCTCCTGGGCTGGTCACAGACAGCAGCCCCTCTCAAGAGGCCCCAAAACCAACAAACCTAGTGGCCAGCTTCAGAACACAACAGAGCATCATATGATTAGCCCAACAAGCAGCATATAGAAAAAGTGATCTTGGCAGCCACCAGAGCCTTCTGGGGCAAATCCTGCTCTGTGGGATCAACCCTTGCACAGCAGATCATATGCTGTGGTAGTGGCCAGTCCTCACAGCCAGTCAGCCTGAGGGTCAATCCCAATCACTGATGTGCCAACAGCAGTCAAGTCTCAACTATAACAAAAAGGCACACACAACCCACACAAGGGTCACCTTGGATACCAGGCTCAGGTGACCAGGGAGATTGCACCCCACAGGATACCTACTGCATAAGGCCACCCTGTCAATACTGGGAGACATAACAGATCTAACTAATATGTAGAAACAAACACAGAGAGGCAGCCAAAATAAGGAGACAAAGAAACGTGTCCTAAGTGAAAGAATAAGAGAAAACTCCAGAAAAAGAACTAAACAAAATGGATGCAAGCAACCTACCAGATACAGAGTTCAAAACGATGGTTATAAGGATGCTCAAGGAACTTAGTGAAAACTTCAACAAAGAGATAGTAAGCATAAAAAAGGACATAGAAACCATAAAAAAAAGAACCAGTCAGAAATGAAGAATACACTCAAAGGAATCAACAGATTAGATGAAGCAGAGGATCAAATCAGCGATTTGGAAGACAAGGTAGCATAAAACACCCAATTGAAACAGCAAAAAGAAAAAATAATTGTTTTAAAATGAGGATAGTTTTGGTGACTTCTGAGACAACATCAAGTGTAACAACATTGGCATTATAGGAGTACCAGAAGGAGAAGAGAGAGTGCAAGGGATTGGGAAATAATGACAGCATGGGAAGAAAAATACTCTATAGAGTTGGTGTGAGGAATGAGTGAGAAAATGCTGAGCAAAGTGCCTGTAAGATACTAAAACAGTAAACATTATTATTATTATTATCATCATCATCATCATCATCATCATCATCCTCAGCATTTCCCAAAGCATAGTGCCCAGAACAACCCAGTGTTTGAGTGGAATCTCTTGGGATTCCAGGGCAAGATGTGCTTATGGTTTGAGATAGTTCTTAATTTCCCAGACCCAGTCATTTAGCTCCTCCGGTTGGTGTGCTGGAACAAGCAAAGGTTTGCTTTAGTGTTTATGTTTAATCCTGAGTACTTCTTGCCTTACTTTCATATTTGTAATTCAAAACTAGGTACTTCTGCCCTCCTGTTGTTAGATATTGTTAGAGATTCAGCTTTGAAACATTTTCCTATGCATCCTTTTTTCACTTTAATTGATCACTGTCCCAGTATTGAATGGAGAAATCTCCAACTGTTTGCTAGTTCTTCTCTTTGTGAAACAGGATTGTTTGACACTGAGCAATGCAATACAAGAGGGAAGTGATTTGGATGTTGAGGCTGATAAGAGATTGCAGCTGTGAAACACACCCAGTTCAGTTTGTGTTAATTGAGAAAGCATCACTGTTCTCACTGATTGACTTTATAATGAGCAAATGCTTTAAATTTGAACTTATAAATTAAAATTTTACTAATAAAAGATTCACTTTTGTTTTGTTTTTCACATTGCAATTCAATGTCGATTTCATTCGAAGAAGGGGCCCCTGTGCCCAGGAAGTGTTGAGCATCACCAGAGTGTGGAGATGACCAGCCAGAAGATCATCAGGAGCAAGGCCCAGAGGTCAGGACATATGAGGCAGGCGAAGGGCAGAAGGTGGTCCTATTTTCAGGGTGGTTGAAGCACAGGACGATGGAAAAGAAGATGAGGCCACTCACAGAAGACCTCAGGTGGCACACCAAAGAATTGGTTTTTATGCCACAGCAACACGGCTTAAGGCAAAGATGTCCTTTAAGAACATAGTCCCATGTAGATGAGCAGGGTGAGAGCAGACACAGGCAGATAGGCAGGAGACCTTGCATGAGCCCACGTCACAGAAACTGAATTAACCTAGTAGGAATGAGAACTGTGCAAGTCCAGTGCAGCTGGAATTGAAGGTTGTCAGCAGTTTGCTGGACAGCTCAGAGAAGAGAGATGCCAGCAGTTTGACCACAAAAGAATGGCCACTCAGCCAAAACCAATGATCAGAAGATCTCTCAGGGGATCCTACTCCTTCCAACTTAAAGTGATCCTTAAAGAGAGCCACCACCCAGATAGCTCCAGCTGTTCATCCTGGCCCTGTCTGGGCATCACCAAGACAGAAGAGTCAAGTCACCCCACTTCTCTGCCAACCCTAGCTAACCCAGCTGTGTGTGCCCCCATGGCCATTCCCCTATTCTTGTATACGGTGACTAGGATACTGCCCCAGCTCATTAGTAACCCTGCCTCAAATGAACCCATTGTAGTAATTCCATTCCTTTCCCCATGGTTAATTTAACATGGCCATGTAGCACAATCCCAGCCGAAGAGATATAGAGGGAAATCTACAGAGGGGTTTTGGGAAAGGTTTTCTTGCTCTTTAAAGAAAAGTGTAGTGGAAGATATGGGCTCTTTTTCCTGCTTAGTCTTTTTAAGTCTGCATGCCCCCCCTGGAACTGCAGCAACTGTCCTGCAGTGATAACAGGCTGGGTGAAGACTGTTGCAGTTGACCCACAGAGCGAGATAGAGCAGACAGACGAAAAAAGCCCAGGTCCTGTATACGTGACTGAGCCACTGAATAAACAGCCATGGGACATCTTGCTATATATTAATTGTTGCAATAAATGTTCCTTAGTGTTCAGGCTGCCTTGAGTTATTGCAGCCCAAGACTTCCTAATTGATACTCCAATTGATACTCTGCCAAAGCTACCTTCCCTTGGGATGACATTGATACCCCTGCCAAAGAGGAAAACTCAAATGGTCCTGTCCCTGGGTTGGCTGGTGATGAGGTATTTTAGTTCATTTCAGTGACGTAAGTTCTGCCTGCCCCGCAAGTGCTGATGATTTACAATCCCGAGTCACTTCTTAGTTATTTCTTAGGTATTTTCCTCTCAGAACCTCAACTTTTTTTTTATTACAAATTCCATGCACCAGCTTTTTCCTGTAAATAGCATTTTATTAACACACAGTTGCACTCATCACTTATGGGTTGTCTGTGATGCTATCACACGTCAACAGCACAGCTGAGGGGCTACAAAGCCTAGAATATTTATTATCCAGCTCTTCACAGGAAAAGTTTGCCAACTTCTGGTGTATTCCATCAAATTTTTTTAAAGAAAAATACTAAAGCTAGGAGAATATTTAAATTATAAAGGAATATATATGCATATTCTTTTATTTTTACATATATGACATGGTTCTAGTCTTCTTTCACTCAAAAATATATCTAAAATAGCTACATAGTATTCCATCATAGATGTAGCATAATTTCTTAAACAAATCACCAAGAGATGGACATTTCGATTGATTCTTCCAGCTGTTATTTGAAGGGGAGAGATCTGACTTCCCACTGTATTGCTCTGGGCTCTGGCACCAAATTCCTGGGTGGCAGTTGTTTAGAATGTGGACTTGGGAGAATTAGACACAGATGCAGGAGCCTGCCTGCTTGTGGCAGATGTGGCCTCAAGTCACTTAGAGGCATTTGGGCTATTGAGAGACATTACAGATAGCAGCTAAGTTAGGAAACAGGCCAGTCTCCTGCAAAGGCTTGTCTGAGCTGTGCAGAGAGGACCCCTGGGAAGGAGCAGGCAGCTGGCAGTGAAAGAACTGGAGAAGCAGTCATAGTTGCAGCATCCCATGGGAGGCCACACCCATCTTGTAACATTGAAAAACAGCGGTAGATGATCTCCACTGGCACAAACCACAGGAAAAATACACAAGTCAGGAAGAGCAGTCGAAGCTTCAGTTTCCAGCCAAACATG